GCCCTGAACAGATTGATGTGCCCATTGTCAGGAATACGCAGAGCGCCACCTAGTGGCAACAGGAAATGTAATGTCTTTAATTTTGTTGTACTGATTTTCACAGCTTCATCGTGGCCACCTCAAAAGCGGTGAATATCACCATCAGTCCCTCTTGGTGCTTCAGTGTGAAAATTGTGACTTTAAACTTAACGGCGCACCCTGGTGGTAGCGCGGTTCACCATGAAAAATGAAGTGGCTTTTGAAGGGCTGGGAAATTTTAAAAAGTCTTGAAATTTGGCCCACACCTCCAATGTGATGAAGGCTTTGTTGTTATGTGATCATTTTTATGGAAAAGTGCAAAATGGCTCCACAGCGCCCCCTACAAAATGTCAAAACATCAGCCCCTGCTCTGTGTTTGATCAATGAGTCTCAAACCTGGTAACCTTATGGAAGATATCAAGATGTACTAAAAACTCTCTTGGAGCAATATCCCAAATCCAACAGGAAGTCAGCCATTTTAAAATTAATGTGTAATTTTGGCGACATTTTCCCCTCTTTTCAGGCAACGTACTTTGACAAACTCCTCCAAGGGATTTCGTCAGATTGACACAATCTCCAGTGTGTGGAATCTAAAGACCTTTGTGATGTTAAATTGCGAAGCTTTTTACGTTCAGGGAAACGGGATGGTCATGGCGGCACGTGGAGTTTGAATCACTCACCAATAAGCAGTAATCTGCTGTCACTCAAAAACACAATGTCCAATCTCTCCCAAAGGTCGCAGGTATGATGAGACTCAAGCTCGGAAATGTTTGTTATGCCATTTGTCAGTAATGGTTAGAGCGCCACCTAGTGGGACGAATATAATCATGATTGAATGAGATGAAATGTTAGCTGGTGGTTAAATGCATGAATTCCATCAATGTGACATCAGATCGGACGTGCTGGTTTTAGGTTTTGGGCGTGGCTCGACGGGCCGGGGTGCGAGGGCCCTCATACCGCTGCTTGCAGCTTTAATTATTATTATTATTATTATTATTATTATTATTATTATTATTATTTTGGCAAATGAATCGACCTTTTGAGGGCCTAAACATGCTCAAAAACTCATGAAATTTTGCACACTCGTCAGGTCTGGAGAAACTTTACGTATTTTAATGTCCTCAGACATGGCCAGGGAAAATTGGCTCAGTAGTGCCACCTAGAAAAATTAAAAACGCGAGCCCCCGGTGTGGGTATGACCTACATGTATGAAATTCGGTACCCCTATCTAACGTTAGGAGACGCACAAAAAAGTCTGCTATGGCCATGTCCTAAAAACAACAGGAAGTCCAACATTTGGAAGTGAAGGTGACATTTTGGCTCTAATTTTGCCATTCCATGCCTCGAACTTTTTCGAACTCCTCCTTGGGATTTGATCATATAAACTTCATATGTGGTCAGTGTCAACTACACACCGGGGCCATGTTAAATTGCGGAGCTTTTGAGTTTTTGGGATACGGTGTGGCCGTGGCGCCACGGCAATTTTTGATGATTCGCCATCAAAATCTTTTTGCCTCTCATTCCGTCATTCATTGTCCGATCTGGGCCGAATTGCACACTTATGATAAGGCTCCACCCCTGAACATATTTCAACTGCCATATTTGACATCAGTGACAGCACCATCTAGTGGGAACCGGAAAATTCATGTTGTACACTTTTGGGTACAGTATGGTGATGGGTGACGTCTGCAGCCTCAAATTTCTCCAGGAAAGCCTTAAGGAGTTGTTCTTGGGTTACAGTGAAAAGTGTGAATTTTCACGAAACGGTGCGACCCCAGCATCATGGCGAACATTGATGTCTCGCCATGAAAAACTAATTAGTATAACTCAATGAAATCCAGTCTGATCCGTACGAGACTTTACAAAAAAGATGACACACCTGCCCTGAACAGATTGATATGCCCATTGTCATATGTCCATATGCGCCATCTAGTGTGAACAGGAAATGTCAATGTTTTAATCACCATCCAAAAAGCTGTTATCTGCTGTCACTCAAAAACACAAAGTCCAATCTCTCCCAAACTTCGCAGACATGAGTTGGGAGTTAAGAAATATTTGATATGCCATTTGTCAGTAATGGTTGGAGCGCCACCTAGTGGGACGACTATAATCATCATCAACGGCATGAAATTTTAGCTTGTGGTTCAATTAATGAATTCCATCAATGTGACATCAGATCAAAAATGCCGGGTGTAGGTGTTGGGCGTGGCTCAACATGCTGGGGTGTGAGGGCCCTCATAACACTGCTTGCAACTTTAATTAATTTTGAAGTCCTGTAGCTGAGTTTGGGAGAGACTAAAAGCTTCGGCAGCAGAGGGCAGAAAGGCTGGCTGTAACACCACCACTATTCTACCTGTGACATAATTTTTCAGGAAACATATATGTGCTCATGTTTTTACTGTGTTCTGCTTGAAGAGCTAAAATGTAAGAAGATCAAATTGTGCTCTTTATTATTGTGTTGGTTTTAGTTTCCTTTCTCTTGGATGAAGCTCATCCAAGAGATAGGGTTATCCTGCTGATCAAAGTCCCACACTGAGTTTGTAAAAACATGTTTGTCAATCATTTTGTTTGGTTTATGGGGAAAATGAGTTAATAACTTCCTGCTAATACACAACATTTCATCAATTCATCTTCTTAGCTTGTAAAAATGAGCTTGTAATTCGTCTGCTTTAATAATGTGACTGGACAAAGGCGTTGTTTGATTTCAAATATGCCAATTTCTGTTACACTTCACCTTAAAAGGGAAGCTATGTGGTTCCTCAAATGAAAAACACAACTTTCTCAAGTCTGTTTAATGTTTTTATGAAAATGCACGCCCTGAATGTGAAAATTTCAGAGTTCTTTCTCTTGTTGTGTTTGTTTAAAGCTGCTTCCTGTTGGCTTCAGCTGTTTGGAGTTTCCATTTTCTAAACTTCTACATTCTGAAACTTCTTCAGCTCTGAACAGATTATGAAACACTGAATGATTTCAAGCTCACACTTTGTCTAATAAACTTACTTCTTTCATTCTTTATACAGTTTGAAGAACTGCATGTTCTCACAGATCAGCTGTGAATATCTGGCAGCAGCTCTGAAGTCCAATGCTTCATATCCCAAAGTACTGGACCTGAGTGGAAACTACAGTGAGCTGCAGGATTCAGGAGTGAAGCAGCTGTGTGGTTTTCTGAAGAATCCACGATGTCGATTTGAAACTCTGAGGTCAGTCACCTGGTTTAGGTTAATATTATGTGAAACCATGCTGACACTATCGATCCGTTGGGTCCACAAACACCTTTGTAAGAAGGTGTTTTCAGGACTTTGTGGAACTTCTGATCCCTGATCGTCTTAGTCTTAGTCTACTCCGTAGATAATGCAGAGTTCTGGAGTCGATGTGGGTGAGGGGGACTCCGGTATCCAGACAGACCTGATGTCCATGCCTTCTCTGCTTGTCTTGATACAAATAAACATGAGTATCCTTGCAAGTCAGATCATGTGAGTCAGCCCTGTTAGTGCAGCTTTCCTCTAGACTGTAGTGCTTGTTAACCTAGAATGGTTTTAGAAGCTCTAAAGAAGCTATGTTTTAGCAGACTCCAAGGGAATATATTACTCGGAAAGGCTAAAGCAGGTATTTGGACTAAGGTAAAGAGGTATTTGGACTAACATAGATTAATACTCCTTATTATAAATAACCTTATTGTTTCACAAAGGGTTAAAAAGTGAATGTACACAGACGGGTTGGTGGTGAGAGAGGCACTTCCAGCACTGTAGATGTGTTCCATCTTAGAGTTCATTGAAAAAATCAGAAGAGCAGGATACCTTGATAAATGCCACATCGTCTTACAGTTATAATCCACAGGGAAAACCTTGAAACTGTCAGTCTGATATCTAGTCAACCAATCAGGTGTTTACATGATATACACTGATCTTCTGCCCCACATTATTATCAGTCTCTCTGTCTTTCTCTTTCACATCTGAATAATCTTCACTTCACATTTCAGTCAGTTCAGATTTCATTAGCAAGTTCACTTCCATTTTAATCCAAACACCTTTCTCTTTAAAACCCTGTTTATCAATCACAGTATTTTCACTACAAGTAACACACATTCAGAGATCAGAGTGTCCAGTGTGTGCTCTCATTCATTCACACTCACTCTCATATGGCTGAAGTCTGTTTGTAAACAGGGTGTCAGCTGGCCTGAGTTAAGCCTGTCTGTAACATCATTATTTTCTTACTTTATTCTGATTGATTGTTTTAGCCAACCTCAAACATCTTTAAATTTACTGATTATGTTCTCATCAATAATAAACACTCAGTACATTCACATATGTATCATAATTTGCACGGTCGAGTCGCGCCCGGCAGTATCCAGTAAGAGTCCTAGCCAGACCCCCCCATGCTAAAACATGCTCTGAAATGGCATGGCTACATCTGCAGCCAACTATGTATGTTTGTGTATGTGACAAATAAAGGTGTTTTGTTTGTTAATTTCTTTCTCACCTTTACCTTTACCAAAATAATGATCCAAATCCTTTTTTTTTTTTTTTTTTTTTTTTTTTTTTTTTTTT